GAGACTCATCTCAAAAAAAAAGAAAAAAAACAAAAAGCTCAACAATCCAGTGTCATCAGGGAACACACACTGAAGCCGTGGGGCAATGCTGTCAGGACGTAAGAAATGAAAACTCTCATACGCTGCTGGTGAGAAATTACAGCAACACAGCCGTTTTTGGAAAACAGTTTGCCGTTATCTTGTCCTCTCTTCTTATTTTTTTTTTTTGAGCCAGCAGTTCTTGACTGTTTACCAAGGCTGGAGTGCAGTGGCTGCGTTCGTTGGCTCAACTGCAAATCGCCAGCCCCCTGGGTTCACGCATTCTGCTACCTCAGCCACTCCTGCGACTTAGCATGGATATTACAGGATGTGAACCACTGTGGCCCGGCTAATCTTGTATATTTTAGTACGGCAGTTTCACCATGTGGATCGGCTGGTCTCGAAATCCTGACCTCAAGGATCCCACCGAATGCCTCAGCCTCAAACAGTGCTGGGAATTTCAGGTGTGAGGCACACCAATGCCCAGCCAGTTTGCGCAGGTTTCTTAAAACATTAAACAAGAGGACCAGCACGGTGGCTCAAGCCTGTAAATCCCAGCCACTTTGAGAGGCTGAGACAACAGGAGAATCAATGTCGGAAATAGCAGACCATCCTGGGCATAACATGGTGAAAACCCGAGTCTCTACTAAAAAATACAAAACACTAGCTGGACGAGGTGGCGGGCGACCTGTAGTCCCAGCTACTGCAGGAGGCTAGGGCAGAGAATGGGTGGAATCCGTGGCGTGACGCTTGAGTGAGCTGAGAATCGCGGCCACCTGCACTCCAGGCGCCTTGGTGACAGATGCGCTAGTCTGTCTCAAAAAAAAAAAAAAAAAAAAAAAGAAACAAAACATAAACAGAAAGTCACCTCACCCATCAATCTCTATCCCTGCTGTGTACTATGGTAAGATCAGATGAAAGCAGTTCCTAGAAGATTTGATATAGAAATGGTTAATACAGCAAGCATTTTAAATATCATCCATAGCAATTGGGGACATACTTCGATTTTGATTTTGGTTCTTTTCCTGGACTGCATTCTGAAGGCTCCCAAATTTCTCTCTCTCATCTTAAAAATGCTGGCACCAGGATGTACATGCAGCGTCTGTATATCCATCAACTTTCAGATATCCAAAAATGTGATACACTAGCCGGCGAGTAGAGGTGGGAAATGGCCAAAAAAAAAAAAAAAAAAGAAACAAAACATTAAACAGAAAGTCACCATACAACCCATCAATTCTATCCCTCTGTGTCTATGTAAGATCAGTGAAAGCGTGTCTAGAGATTTATATGTAAATGTTTACAGCAGCATTATTCATCATAGCCCCAAACTGAAACAGTCCAAATGCCCATCAGATGGTGAATGGATGAGTCCCTACGATGAAGTACTATTCAGGAACAAGCTACTAATGCACACAATAGAGTATGGATGAAACTCAGAACCATCCTGCAAGTGAAAGAAGCTGGAATAAAAGACTGAGTGTGACGCAACCCATTTGCACACACTGCCATCTAAAACGAGGAAAGTCTAGAGGCAGAAAGCAGATTTGCGGTTGCCAGGGGCTGGGAATGGGGGGAAATGGACACTGGTTTGAGGGAATGGCTACATAATTCATAATTCACAACAGTGAATTTTACGGTGTGTGAATTGTATCTCGATAGAACTGTTTTTGAAACTAAAAACATTTTCAGTGAAACAAAATTGAGGGATTTGTCAGCAAAGCTGCACTACAAGAACTACTGAAAAGAAGTTCTCCAGGCTGAAGGGAAATGAGTTAGGGGGAAGCACAGTCCTTCCTGGAGAACCTCTGCAGGGACAAATGAAGGTACCAGAAGAGGAGACGTTTGGGTAATTTAACAAATTTAAGGACTCCTGATATGGTTTGACTGTGTCCCCACCCAAATCTCAGCTTGAACTGTATCTCCCAGAATTCCCACATGTCGTGGGAGGCACCCAGGGGGAGGTAATTGAATTATGGGGGCCGGTCTTTCCTGTGCTATTCTCATGATAGTGAATAAGTCTCACAAGATCTGATGGGTTTATCAAGGGTTTCTGCTTTTGTTTCTTCCTCATTTTATCTTGCTGCCGCCATGTAAGAATTGCCTTTTGCCTTCCGCCATGATTCTGAGACCTCCCCAGCCATGTGGAACTGTGAGTCCAATTAAACCTCTTTTTCTTCCCAGTCTTGGGTATGTCTTTATCAGCAGCGTGCACATGGACTAATACAGTAAATTGGTACCAGAAGAATGGGGCTGGGGGTGGATAAAACATGCAGCCACGTTTGAGAACTCTTCCGCAGTTTCCACTCAAATGAAACATATGTCTAGCCTGTGAGCCGGCACCAGGAGGTGCAGATCCAAGAGAAATGTCCACAGGGACATCTGTGTGAGAATGTTCATAGCAACCGTGACTTCTAATAGCCACAAACTGAAAACAATCCCAAATCTTTCAAGAGCAGAATGGATAAGCATACTGTGGCTTCTGCACACTATGAAATACAACACGGCAATGCAAAAAGAACAAACTGCACTTGATGCAACACACAGATCAACTGTCAAACAGTACAGTGAACCAGAACACAAACGTGACACTGAGGCATGGAAAACGGAGCACACGTGTAGAGGGACAGCGCTGAGGCGGGGAGAGCACACGTGTAGTAGGATGGTGCTGAGGAGGGGAGAGTACACACACAGCGGGACAAGGCTGAGGGGTGGGGAGCAGGCACAGAGGTGAAAGACACGAAGGATGGCATTTCTTGGAAGTCATCCAAATCTTCAGAGGGCAGCTGCCGCCCTAAAGAAGGGCACTGAGAGCCGAGCGCGACCTCCTTCCTCCAGCACATCCCGATGTGTTCCCACACTTTCAAGACCTGTAGGACCTGGAGGCCCCTGAAGGGCGCCTTAACGTTTGACTAACTAGCAAGTGCTTCTGAGGCGGCAGGAGCAGGCCTGTTGCTCTAACCCGAGCTGCCACAGCACAGACCCCGCCAGATGGCAGTTCCCACGCAGGCTGCTCCGAGGAGTCACCCCCAGCCGCCCTGATTTGCTGCCCTGCCCTCCTGAGTCCATGCTGCGATCCTGAGGACGTCGGCCAGGGCAGCGCTGTTGGAGACAAGTGACTGATCTGAGCCTCTGGCGACTTTGCGGCGACTTTGATCTCTAGAGGCTGTGGCTGCACATCCATCTTCCAGCATCCTCCTCCTGTCCCCCAACCCCATCCGTCACCTGCAGGCACTGACACACACGGCCCTCTGTGCAGGATGACTTGAAGACACCGCGTCTAAGATTGTCCAATACCACCGCAGGTGTCTGGTCACCCCACACTTGTATCCTACACATTCTTCAATACAATCTTAGACAGAACCCCAATATTCAATAACGCTGACAGCTGGATTTTACACATAGAAACTTCTAAAGTCGGAAACCCTGAAACTTGGGAATTGACGGAAAAGAGCTGCAATCTTTTGTAGCCACAGCATCGAATTTGTTTAAATATTAAGTTTTCGGCTGGGCATAGTGGCTTATGCCTGTAATCCCAGCACTTTGGGAGGCTGAGGCAGGCGGATCACGAGGTCAGGAGTTCTAGACCAGCCTGGCCAACATAGTGAAAACCTGTCTCTACTAAAAACACAAAAAATTAGCTGGCTGTGGTGGCGGGCGCCTGTAATCCCAGCTACTCAGGAGGCTGAGGCAGGAGAATCGCTTGAACCCAGGAGGCAGAGGTTGCAGTGAGCCAAGATCGCGCCACTGCACTCCAGCCTGGCTGACAGTGCGAGACTCCATCTCAAAAAAAAAAAAAAAAATTAAGTTTTCACAGCATAGTTTAGAGAAAAATCTGAAGTAAGCATCAAAAACAGCGCAGGTCTGAGGCTTTCTCGTGTCCATTAAAGGTCTGAGGTTTTCCTGTGTCCACTGAAGGTCTGAGGCTTTCCCGTGTCCATTAATGAGCCAGTCTGAAGTGTCCGGAATATGACAGCAGATCCCCAGGCAGAGACCCCAGGGCAGACACTCTCAGAGCAGAGACCCCAGGGCAGACACTCTCAGAGCAGAGACCCCAGAGCAGACAGTCTCAGAGCAGAGATCCCTGGGCAGACGCCCTTGTGACACAGACCCCAGGGCAGGGACCCCCATGGCTGATGCCCCTGGGCAGAGACGCCGCAGCAGCAGCTCCCAAGCTGTGTGTGGGCACCAGAAAGAGCCAGGTGGTGTCATTCACACAGTGCTGGAGAAGAAGCAAGCTGAGAAAGTCCAGATCCTTGACAGCTGGTCTGTGCCAGCACCTGCACCCACCTGCCTCTCACCCTGAGAGTAACACACTCTTTACTGGGGAGGACGGAACCAACCTGCCCTCCAGGAGGACGGAACCAACCTGCCCTTGGCTCCCTGGGAGATGCTCTGCCTCTGCCCCTGCAGCTGCATCTCACCCTGGCACAGTCCACGACAAAGGCTGTTGCTGCCTCTGCCCAAGTGACCATGGCAGACCAGACACCGTCAGCGCCCGGGCAGCCCCCAACAGAGGTTCAGGGCCAGGCTGCCAAGGAGCAGGGGCTGAGGTGGGGCAGGTTGAGGAGGCCCAGTCACAGGCACACAAACCGACACCCTCGACAGAGCTGACAGCCAAAGGAAAGGAGGGGGCTCAAGGTGGAGAGGAGGGAACAGCCCCAGAGGAGCCCCCAGAGACACAGCAAAGGCACCGAAGGTCCCTACACACCAGGCGCTGCACCACCCACACAGCACACACACGGGGAGCTCACTGCAACAACACCACCTTTGTGTTCACCAAGGACAGCTGTGTCCACTTAGGGCGCACCCCAGAGACAGCCACAGGGAGGGTCGGGCCACTAAGCCAGATCCCTACCGGGGGAGCCAGCACAGGTCTGGAGCAGAGCGCCAGGCAGATGTCTCCAGGATGGACCACACAGATGAGGCAACCTCAGTGTCTGCCATCTTAACCAGAGTGCTGTGTCGCAGCTGTGGTCAGTGCTGAGATGTCCATGAAAAATAAGGGCTGAAGCCAACAAGAATGTGGAGTGTGTCAGGGAGATGGGGTCCTGGGGAGGCTCTTCAGGAGGTGACCCTGGTGACGGGGCCCTCGGGAGGCTCTGTGGCTACAGGCGCCCTGGCAAGCAGTGGAGGGAGCTCACGGCTAATGACGCAAGTGTGTTGGCAGCCACCTCTCGTTGGCACGGCAATAACTACTAGATTTTAAAGAGGTCGTTCTCTAAAGCCCAGCGTTATCATCTGTGAAGAAACTGGCTCACTTGCTCTTAGAAAGCTGTTCTACATACTGGCTTCTCTTTCGAGACCTTCCCTCCAGTGGAGGCTGGAGAAGAGCCCCTTCTCTTTTTGAAGTTTGTGCCCACTGTGAGCCAGGCTCCAGACCAGGCCAGACCCTCCTACACGCCCCTCGGGCTTATGTGGCCAGGACCCCTTATTTTCCGGGGATGAGACTAAAGGTCAGAGAGGTGGAGGGCCAGATGAGAGGCCTTCTCTCCACCTCCAGCCACTGTGTGGGGTCAGGTGCCCCACAGTGAAGATGACGGGCCTCAGCGGCAGCAGCAGCAGCAGCAAGGAGGTGGGCGGGGCCTCCCAGCTGCAGCAGAAGCAATGGGGAGGTGGGCGGGGCCTCTCAGCTGCAGCAGAAGCAGCAGAAGGGAGGTGGGCGGGGCCTCTCAGCTGCAGCAGAAGGGAGGTGGGCGGGGCCTCTCAGCCGCAGCAGAAGCAGAAGCAGAAGCGAGGTGGGCGGGGCCGACCGCTCACAGGGCCCCCTTCCTGGAGAAATTCACACCGGACTAGGGTTTGAGTCCTGAGCTCCGGGTCAGAGGCCTCAGAGTTCCACACAGCCTTCAAGGGGGCCGGAAAGACTTCAGACAGGAAGAGTCCTGGCAAGAGCAGTGAGTGTGGGACCAGCCACTGGTGGCTGCTGTGCTCTGGGCTTTAGGACTGTGCCTCTGCTGGCCGGGACGTCTGCCCTGCAGGACAGCCCTGCACAGACCAGGAGCCCAACCCCAGGCATCTGGCCTCAGAGATGGGCTCTTCTGTGCTGAGAACGATCATGATACGACCCAAATCCTAAGGGCTTTTCCCTACATTCACTTTTTAAACTTTTTTTCCTGTGAATAAAAGGCGTATTCATTATATGGGCAGAGGTTGGAAAACATCCGTGGCCTCACCGGAGGGCTCCGCTTCACTACACCTGTGACATACGCACACCTCGTCCTTCCTGTGGGCTCAAGGCCTGCCCCTCATGCCCTCTGCAGCCTGGTGAGTGGCTCTCGCCTGCAGTCAGCTGGAATGCACACAGGGCCACAGCAACTCCTAAAAGCCACCACCATCCCCAACTGACAGGCGAGGCCCGATGCTGCACACAGGGCCCCACCTCGAGCCCAGGTCCTTTCCCTCCAAAGCAGCATCCTCATCTGCCCTGGAGACAGCTCTGCACAGGCAAGGCTGCGCGTGGCAGCTCGGCGACGACTGCTTCCACCCCAGGGCTGTGTGTGGCCAGTGCCACGTCCTCCCCTCCCTGCCTGCTCCAAGGGAGACACTACAGAGGAAGCGACGCAGAGAGGGGAAACAGAGACTCTGCAGCAGCCCTCCAGCTGGGCCAATACTCCAAAGTAGCCCTCCCAGCCAGCAGCTCTCCAGCCCGGCCAGTACTCTGGAGTAACCAAGAGCTGCCACAGTGGCCACATCGTAGCTCAAGGGGCCACGCCCTGCACCCTGCACCCCGAATGTGTCACCTCACGCAGTGGTGGGAACTGCAGGTGGGTGAAGCGAAGGACCTCAGGATGGGAGATTATCTTGGAATATCCGCATAGGCTGTACAAAGAGAAGCCAAAGGAGCCCTGACTACGGAGAGAAGGCGGCCATGTGCCTACCGAAGCAGAGCCGGACGTGAAGCAGCTGGAGCCAAGGGCACAGGCGGCCTCTAGAAGCTGGAAGATGCAGGAATGGACTTTGTCCTGGAGCCTCCTGTCAGAGCAGCCCCACCATACCCAGCGTCAGCTCCGCAAGACTCGTCTCAGAATCCTGGCCTCCAAGCATGTCAGAACAAACTCGCAGTATTTTAAACCAAGTGTGTGAGCGTCCGCTGCAGCCCCAGGAGCCCATCCACAGTCTCACTATTCACGGTTTCAGTGACATGCGGCCCACTGCGGTCTCGCAACAGACGAGCACGGTGCCGGAAGGTATTTTGGAGAGAGGAGAGCACTTTCCCATAACTTTATCACAGTACGTGGTTATAACTGTTCTGTTACTGTTAATCTCTTACTGTGCCTGACTTACCGATTCAGCATTATCATAGGTACGTATGTATAGCAAAAAGCACTGTAAGTACAGGGCTCCATGCTACCCAGGGTCTCGGCATTGGCGTGTCCCCTGTGGATGGGGCGACTGCACACCAGGGAAAGGCACCTGGTCTGAGGGTGTGGCCAGAGCCTGACCCCGACCAGGGAAAGGCAGCTGGTCTGAGGGTGCGGCCAGGAGCCCTGACCCTGACTCACCTGCTGGGCGCTGAATTCAGGCATCATCACACAGGTGGCTCCCACCCAGAGAGGACAGAGCAGCGCATTGACCACACCGTGGACGTGGTGTAGTGGAAGCACGTGGAGGATCACGTCGTCTTTGGTCCATGCCCACTTGCGGACCAGCCCGGTCACCTGCAGGGGACAAGAGCGCAGCTGAGAGCAGGAGCGAGACTGTGGTCCGCAGCAGCATACACAGACCTGGGGCTCAGGGACAGGAGCTCTGGGCCTCTCAGCTGAGGCAGGGGAAGAAGGCTGGCTCTTTGTTGCTCCCCTCTAGCAGCCTCTCAAGATGACGACGAAACCACAGCAGATCTGCTGGGTCACTCACTTACCCTGGGGACAGAGGACAGCACCACACACAGCCAGGGGCTTTAGGGAATTTAGACAGCGGGGGAGTGGCTCTGCAGACACCAGGCAGACAGAGCTGTGACTCAGCTTCGCCATCCCCAGCTCCGCCCCTGCCCAAGCCTGGACTCAGGGACCCAGCGCCATTCAGGCTGGAATCGACTCCTAGCCCAACCACTGGCTCAGCCGACAGCACTGCCCTTGCAGAGCTCTGCCAATTTGTGAATTATTGTTACCTGCTCAGGCAGGACAGAACCCAGGGCCAGGCTCCTGAGCGCATCCTCAGCTCTTACTGAGAAGCAGTGTGAGGCACGGCCCACTGAATCCACCGTCCAGTCTCACGGAGGACACTGCCTGCTGCCTGCACAGGCTCCAGGGACAAGCACATGTGAGTGCCACTCCCCTCAGCAAGGACAGAGGAGTCCGGAGCCCGTCCCTCCCAACAGGCGCGCTGCTTCCAGGAGTGACGGCGCAGGCCACCCAGGGCCTAGCCTGCAGCGTGTTCATGGTGCCTCCACCAACCCACGACTCCGTGGGATCCACTTTCTGCCTTCCCCTTCGTGGCTTTCGGCTTTCATTTTTACTTTATTGCTTCAACCGCATAGGAGACTTTATGACACTATACAAATGACAAGTAAGTGGAGAGTTCTGTGAAGATGTGACTGAGGTCACAGGACACAAAAATAACGAGTAAGACGCAGGTGTACATGGGGTCCCGACCAGGCATCCTAACATGTGGCTGGCCTCGGAAAAGCCCCTCAGCATTGCAGGCAGTGAGTGGCCCCTTCTGACCTCGTGCCATGTGGTCCTGGCGGGGTCACTCGGCGGCCCCTCAATCCCTCTACACCTGAAGGCTTCGCCCCTGCCTGAGCCGTCCTGCGTGGCCAGTGGCCACACCCTGCAGGCCTGCGTCCGTGTATCTCACACGGGTTTGCAGGACGGTGACAACCGTGAACGACTCCACAGAGAAGCAAATGAACAGATGTGCTTCTGGCCCGGAGCCCACCCAGAGTGCTGCGCCGTGACCGGCGCCATCGCAGCAAGGGGCCCGGAGCCCACCCGGAGTGCCACGCCGTGACCGGTGCCATCGCGGCGAGGGGCGGCACTCACCACAGCCCTGATGTTTCCGTGCGTGCTCAGCACGCCCTTGGGCCTCCCTGTGGTCCCACTGGTGTAGATGATCATGGCGCCCTGGTCCCTCCACCCCTGCTCTGGGACGGGGACCTCTGCTGGTTCCTCTACTGCTCCAGTGTAGACGGCTGGCGTGAGCGGCAGCAGCGGGACCCCCAGCTTCCTGACCACTGGGCTCAGGAGCTCCAGGTACTCCTGGCCGGCAAGGACCACAGAGCTCTGGGAGTCGCAGATGACATACTCCAGCTGGGCGGCGGGGTGCTTCCTGTAGAGGGGGACTGCCACACCGCCGCTCATCCACGAGGCCCACTGGGCCACCACGTAGGAGGCGTCGTTAGCGCACAGGAAGGAGACCCTCTCCCCCCGGAGGTCCCCGCCGACACACCCGCGGAGTCTGCAGATCTCCTGGGACAGGCGAAGGCTGCGGGAATAAAGCTCCCTGTACGTGTGGTGGCCATGCTGGTCAACCAGGGCGGTTCTGTCCCCAAAGGCCAGGGCGCGGGTGAACACGGGGGCGCTCCTGTCCGAGCGGGTCACTGGGGCTGTGTGCAGAAGGCCACTTCCTCTGTGTCTCACAGAAGCCAGCCGGCAGGAGGCCGAGGCACAGCCCAGGCGCCGGAAGGTGAGCATCACATAGGGCAGCATCGCACGGACAGGCATTCCCGGGAGCCTCCTGGGGCCAACCTGGAGAAAGGCAAGGCACAGCACGTGAGTGCCCAACCGTCCCATCCGAACGTAGCCACGACAGGATCTAAAACACCTCCCAGTACCCAGCCAGGTACGCCTGCTGCACTTCAGTCAGGAGGCAGCACATCAGACAGGTCGCATCCAGCCTTCCTCGCCCACGCCACTGGAACGTTCCATACGCGCCCAGCATCTCAGCTTTCTATTTCACTTCACTAGTTTAAGGATTCCCAAATCACACAAGATTCTGAACAACGAAATAAACTAGGTAAGTTTATTTCAAGGAGAAGCAAATAAAATTCAATACACTTAAGGTACATCTGAATAATAGGTTTTAGAATCTTGAGCCTGGAAAACCACCCATGAGAGGAGGAAGTGTGGAGAAGAGCTCAGTACGGCCCCTGCTCACAACAGGCATGGCCTGGAGACCTCGCCCCGGGGGCAGACACTGTCCCTGCTCACAACAGGCATGGCCTGGAGACCCCACCCCTGGGGCAGACATGGCCCCCGCTCACAACAGGCATGGCCTGGAGACCCCGCCCCTGGGGCAGACATGGCCTCTGCTCACAACAGGCATGGCCTGGAGACCTCGCCCCTGGGGCAGACATGGCCTCTGCTCACAACAGGCATGGCCTGGAGACCCTGCCCCTGGGGCAGACACGGCCCCCGCTCACAACAGGCATGGCCTGGAGACCTCACCCCTAGGGCAGACACGGCCTCTGCTCACAACAGGCCTGGAGACCTCACCCCCGGGGCAGACACTGTCCCTGCTCACAACAGGCATGGCCTGGAGACCTCGCCCCTGGGGCAGACACTGTTCCCGCTCACAACAGGCATGGCCTGGAGACCTCGCCCCCGGGGCAGACACGGTGCTGCCTCTCTCAGACCCTTCCCACACAGGTGCACAGTGGAAATGTGGTGAGGTGCCAAGGTTTTTTTTTTTTTTGAGAGCGGGTCTGCTGTGTTGCCCAGGCTGGTGCATGGTGTAGTGATGCAATCATGGCTCACTGTAGTCTCGACTTCCTGGGCTCACGCCATCCCCACCCTCAGCCTCCCGAGTAGCTGGGCCCACAGGCATGTGATACCACACCCAGCTTTTTTTTTTTTTGTTTTTGTTGTTGGTAGAGACAAAAAGGGTTTCCTTGTGTTCGCCAGGCCCTGGGTCCAAAGTCCTGGGGTTATGGCAGGTGTAAACCATGCTTTTTTCCTTCTTTTCTTTTCTTTCTCTCTCTCACCATTTTTTCTTTCTCTCTTTCCTATCTATCCGAGATGGAGTCTCACTCTATCTATCTATCTATCTACCTACCTACCTACCTACCTACCTATCTATGATGCAGTCTTGGTCTGTCACCCAGGCTGGAGTGCAATGGCATGATCTGGGCTCACTGCAACCTCTGTCTCCTGGGTTCAAGTGATTCTCCTGCCTCAGCCTCCTGAATAGCTGGGATTATAGGTGCGTGCCACCATGCCTGGTTAATTTTTGTATTGTTAGTAGAAATGAGGGGTTCACCGTGTTGACCAGACTGGTCTCCAACTCCCAACCTCCGGTGATCCACTCACCTCGGCCTCCCAAAGTGTTGAAATTACAGGCGTGAGCCACTGCGCCCAGCCAAGCCAAGCTTTAAACCAGGCAATTCACAGGGCTAGAGAATGTGTTTTAGGTTGAACTATAATTCTCCCCTTTCCCCCAAAAAACTTTACTAAATGACTAATAAATCAGCAGGAAGCGAGGGCTCCCTGGGAGGAGCCGTGTGGGCCCGCTGTCCGCTGCAATTCTTCATTCAGAGAAAGGAGACCGAGAACAAGCCAGGGCACAACGCTCCTGACGCGTGAGGGCTGGTCCAACTCTGCAACATGCATTGTGCAGCCAGAGGACACTGCCCACGGGACACCGCCCCAGGACGCGGACACAGGCCGGGGCAGAGCCCCCGCATTCCAGAGCGAGGAGAAGGGGTGGCACTTTCCACGAGGCTCCTGCATCCCTGGCCTTTTATAATCGAAGCTTCGCTCGACTCACGAGGGCACGGGACAATCTGCTTTCTCAGACTCTTTATGACCAGCAGAACTGACCATGTTTCCTTCCCAGCGCTGATGCGGCCTGCTGGGGTGAACAACAGTCACTCGCTCTGGTTTCAAGCCCCCAGCTTCATAGCTCCTTCAGGTACTGCACTGTCCCTACCTCAGCCTCTGAAGTAAGAATAGGCTGGTCTGCCTCCCTTCCTGGGGGAAGCACCCACTGGGCACTCAGGGGCCTCTGACAGCGTCCCAGGCCTGTGGCCCACGCGTAGTCAAGTTGTCCATGTGGTTCTCAGGGACTCTGAACGAGTATTATTTTGACAATGATGCTACTATCTAACACACACATATTAGATTAGGTTTCATCTCAGCATTTTGCCTCAACCACACTCTGTTCAGTAAACAAACAAGGCAACCACTTGTTCACACACAGAAAAGCAAAGGAGGCCAAGTTCAAAGTCACCCAGCTCCCGAGCCAGAGAGAGAAGTGAGGGGAAGCTCGCAGTTCACAAGAGCAGCAGGCACAGCTGCTTCAGCAGGTGGAGGGGCACGACAAGGCGAAGGCCTGCACATGCTCATCCTCCTGGGGCGGGCACCAGGACTGGTGCTGTAACCCGGAAGGCCGGCGAGGACACCTGCCAACGGGCATCTGTGCTGAGGACCCAGGCTGTGTGTCTAACGCTTCTCACAGGCACAACACTCAACACTCAATGGGGGAAGGGAAGCATGTTCATTTCCAAGCGAAAGACAACATTATAAAATAAAACCAAGGGGCAGCAGTGACCCCACGACCCTGTCGCGTCTCCTCCCGCACACCACGTCCCCTCTGCGGGATCTGCGCCCACGTTCGGCAGGCTCGCTCTCTCCAGCACAGCTCTTTCGTTAACTAGCGAGGGGAAAGCTACCGTGTCACTGCCTGCGGTTTGTACTAAACAGTTTTATTCTCTGCTCTTAGTCTGAAACCGTATACAACACTTCATCGTCACCTAACAAAACAAATCTCATGACAGTGAAAACTGTCAGAACCAAAGTATGTTTTGTGCTTGAGACCCTCAACTACTGCCCTTGGTTTCTGCTTGTTTGATTTGGGTGTCTGCCTTCTCTGCTAGCCTGGGGCTCTTAATGAAGCCCCTGTCCCAGCCAGCAGAGGGATTTCCTGCCTCTGGCCCAGGCCAGAGGAAAACGAGCCATGCAGGGCAGCACAGCTCCGTGGGCTGCCTGGACGTCCTGTGTGAGTCTTCTCTGAATTCTACCAAACGCTCAGCCCTGTAGGCCACATCATCTCCTGACATGAGGCACCCATGTTCTGCCCTCTACATCTGTTCAGAGGCAGGGCCATGGCTGGTCCACCCACACACCTGCACTCTGCTACCATAGAGAAACCCAGAGAATGTCAAGGAAACAACTGGGCTTGACCAGACACAAGACACAAGATCAGCACGTGGGCTGTGCCAGCTTCTGAAAGCAGCAAACCAGGGCGGCCCCACCACGCTTCCTTCCTCACTTCCAACAAATCCTGCACTGCTTTACAGGTGTGAGGGCACGGAAACAAGGAGAATCCACACACAGAAAACCGACCAGGCACTGGGTGTTCTGGGTCACAGCCCCGAGGCCAGACTTCCGCTGCTGAGAGCCACAGGGAGTGTCTGGGGTGCGTGGTGCGGGGGACGGTGCTTTCTGGGGTGCCAAGGAGTGGAGCACTAGGGCGGCCGGCGATACTCACGAGTGGATATAGAAGGTGCCTGTCATTGTCTGTAGCTGTTTCTCAATATGACAGAAGCACATGAAAGGGGGATGACAGCTTTCCTCTGACTAAAGCTGCTGCTCAGAAAAGGTTTCTGCAGACCACAAAGAACCGAGTTCCGACAAAGTGAGTTCATGCTTGTGCTGTGCACACGCTAACCACACGTTGAGCACACACAGCACACACTACCAGAGCACAGCCCCCACTTCGGCATTTTTACAAATTCCTGGGTCACCCTGCAGCGTGAAGCCATGCAAGAGTAAGAGTGGATTCCCCACAAAACCCAGAGGTCAGCAGAGCTGGCGATGCAGATGTGCACAGCTGGGCTGGGCAAACTCAAAGTGCTGGCTGAGAAGAAACTGCTGTTCTCCTGGGCGGAATCCAGAGCCCTGCCTGTGGCTGGGCACTCCTGCCACCAACCCCTGGGAGGTGACAGACGTGACTGGCCCCATGTGAGACGGTCCCAGCTCCCACAGAGCCCATGTGCTATGAGGAGAGGACACAGGCAGGAGGGACAGAGGGGGGCCTGGTGGGGAAGCTTCCTATGGAGGCTGAGAAGGGCCCGGCCCAGCCAGCGTCTGCCGGGGGAAGGGGAGAGTCCTGGCACCTACAGCCGCGTTCACTCGGGGTGTCTAGGGCACAGATGCCGGGAAGTGACATTGCTGGGTCATCTTTAATTTCGAGAAATACTGACAAAGTCCCCTCCAACGAGGTGCTGATTTATTCTCCCACCAAGCACGTGGAAAACGGAACCAGCCCCATCAAACCAGCGTTTAAGTCCCTCAGGCTTGAGACCAACAAGCACCCAATCATCAATTCTTTTCACACAGAGGTCGAATCCTCACGGTCATCGGATCAGAGCCCTGCCTTGAACAAGCAGACAGAGTCTACTCAGGGCAGATGGCCATGAGCGGTGTTCCTGCACACCTCCGGGTCCAGAGGCACCCCAGCTCCCTCAGAGAGAACCCCACCTTTCAACCACCGGGACCCCTTCTACCGTGGGGCTCCCCATCACCACCGGGAGCGCAGTGTTGGAGGGACACTGCCCACCAAATGAACGGAGCTCAGCCAGGGGAGGGGCGCAGTGTTGGAGGGACACTGCCCACCAAACGAACGGAGCTCAGCCGGGGGTCTCCACCCTCATCAGCCAGCTTCACACCCCTGCTATGCGGCACCCTGATAACCCGAGGTCAGCGGCGTCACCACGTGGCTGGGAAAGGACTCTAGTCAGAAGCTGAGAAAGGTGCATGAGCCAGGACAGCCTCCTTGGTGAAGGGGTGCTGGAACCACTGAGCCACTGAACACAGCTGCTCTCCAGCCCTCACGGAGGGAGGCAGGCCCTCTCGGTGTTCTAGCCATCAGGTTCTGAGATCAAACCACTCAGGCACTGGGGCTTTTCAGGAACACACACGCAGCGCCAGCGGGAGGCATCGTTTCCATCTTCACCAGAGTGCTGGTTAACAGCAGAGTTTAGAGTTGCCACACGCTTCGACTTGAATGGCCGTTCTCTTTGTCCTCATTTCCTCACTGGCCTAGCCCTTCACTTCCCACCACTAAGATGGGACCGTAACAAGATCTGCCTCACAGGCTCCACGTGAGAATGTACGAATGGTCCGGCACAGGCCAGGCAGAAGACAAATGGCAGCGCCATGCTCAGCAGGGTGCTCCCCATGGAGCCTCACAACAAAAATTACTAGATCAGAACGACACTGGCATTCAAATGAAGGGGCTGGTTTCAACATGAATAAAGTGGCACCTGACCTGTTCACCACCACACCTGGCCCCCCACCCCAGACCTTGTGTTTGAAGTGGATGCCAGCACTTCCTCCTGTGGCTGCCCCGATGACGGTGTGGGGCAGGGGAGGGTGTGGGGCAGGGGAGGGCTGCACTTGGCCTGCAGGGCAGGATGCGTTTCAGCATCACACCTGTGGTTTGGGGGGTTGTTTTCAAAATTACATTTTTAAGTAGCAGACATTCACATTGCATTCATGAACAGGACATTCAAATCAAAAAAACCAAAAGGGAAAAATACACTTGAAACTCATATCGATTTTAGGAAGAAAAATATTATTTTAAAAATGCCATCTGGAAAGGTGACACAACAATCCCAAGCCCACAGTTTAATCCACCATTTGTGTCTGCCTTGAGAGGACAGTTCAGAGCCAAAGGAGCGAGAGCGAGGGAAGCCTCATCTTATGTCCCCAAACACCTGCGGAAAGAACAGTGGCCCGAGCCAGGCTTCACGCCACGAAGCTCCCAGGGTCCAGCGGTAGTAACACCTGAACACCTGTGCTCCTAGGCCCACCATGTGAACCCCCTCCTCAACAAGGTCTCAGCCCTGGGCCCTATCACGAATGTCTGTCCTCGCAGGCTGGGAAAGCAACAACAATTCGTGTTCCCATCTCTAAACGCGTTCCCTTTCTGGCAAATTCCTAATCATTCTTCCAAGCCCAGTTCAAATATCACCTCTTCTTTTTTAGTTTTATTATTTATTGAGACAGTGTCTTGCTCTGCCGCCCACGCTGGAGTGCAATGGTACTGTCGTGGGTCACTGCTGCCTCCGATTCCTGGGCTCGAGCGATCCTCCTGCCTCACCCTCCCGAGTAGCTGGAACTGCAGGTGTACCCCACCACACCCGGCTAATTTTTACATTTTTTGTAGAGACAGGGTTCTCACCATGTTGCCCAGGCTGGTCTTGAACTCCTGGCCAGAAGTGATCCTCCTGACTTTGCTGCCCAGAGGGCTGGGATTAGAGCCAGAAGCCACTGCACCTGGCCTGCCTGCTGGAATTTAGACTTAGGACGGCAACATTAACTCCTGACCGCACCGGCCTCAGCCCTGTAAACCTTCCCTCTCTCCAGGGAATGGGCTGCCTGCAGGGCCTTCCAAAGACTTCACGGCCGCACGTCGCCATCGTTTGCTCACGGATCTACCTGCCCTCAGGAGCCAGGCCAGCTATGAAGCTGTGCCCCACGCGCCCAGCAAGGTGCACGCAGCAAACAACTCAAACGGGGAGTACTTCAAGGGTGACTTCTGAGGCCCAATGAGAAATGGAAGTGAATGTATTCCAGACACAACCGAACACGGTACTCTGAGGATGCCTGAACACGGACCCCGCCGGCTCGACCGTCTCACCGGGCCCGGCGTCAGCACGCCTTCTCTCCCCCGTCCCCGCGCGGGGGGCCCCGCTCCCCACCGGACACGAGAGGCTCGGCGGCCCGGGAAGGCCGACGCCCGGCCCCAGGCGGCTCGCGGGGGAGCGGCCGCGCCACGGGCCACGGCTCAAGCCCAGCTGCGGCCCAGGTGCGGGCGCTGGAACCCGCGCCCCCGAGAGCTCTGCGCCCGGCCGACCCCGCCTCGGTCCCGTGGGCCCCGCCGCCCGCACCTACAAGACGGCCGCGGTCGCGGGGCAAGATCTGCCTCGCCCCAGCTCTTCCTCGTCCTCCGCCGCGCGCGCGCCGGAGTCGGGCCGGGTCCTCCCGGGTCGTGAGTCGGGCCGGAACCGCTTCCGGCGCCCAACAGCGTCCCCGGCGCGGCGCGTCCGTCGCCCAAGCGCGTCCCCCCGGCGCGGCCCCGTGGCGGCGGGTTCCGGCCGCGCGCGTTCCCCTCTCCCGCCTGTCCCGTTGTGGCCGGGTCGGGGCCGCGGGCTTTTCGTGAACCGTGGCCGAGGCAGGCGCCGTGGTCTCCGCCAGCACCAGGCTGCCCCGATCAGAACGCCGCGCGGGACCGCTCCGAACGCGGATTGCTGGGCCTCGCCCCGTCCTCCCAAAAGGGGGTCCCTGGGCTCTGGGGCTGGGGGTCTGCGCGCCGAGCTCCTGCCTTATTATTATTATTATTATTATTATTATTATTATTTTGAGATGGAGTCTCGCTCTGTCACCCAAGGCTGGAGTGCAGTGGCTCAATCTCGGCTCACCGCAACCTCCGCCTCCCGGGTTCATGCCATTCTCCTGCCTCAGCCTCCCGAGTCGCTGGGACTACAGGCGCCCGCCATCATGCCTGCCTAATTTTTGTATTTCTTGGGTGATTTTAAATGGACCGCATTTGAGAATGTCTCCTCGAAGGGACTTGGGAACCAGGACACGGATATGAAGCTAGACTGTTGGAGGGCAGTGGCGGGAAACATTTAAAGCCAGAGGCAAAGTCCAATTGGCTGAAATGTGAGGGTTTTTTCCCCCTAAAATAAATACAAATATCACAAAGACATGTACTGGCAAACAGTAGTACAAATTATCTGCAGAACCGTCCGGGTGTGGTGGCTCACGCCTGTAATTCCAGCACTTTGGAAGGCCGAGGCGGGCAGATCACGAGGTCAGGAGTTCAAGACCAGCCTGACCAACATGGTGAAACTCCGTCTCTCCTAAAACTACAAAAATTAGCTGGGCTTGGTGGCGGGCGCCTGGAATCCCAGTTACTTGGGAGGCTGAGGCAGGAGAATCTCTTGAGCCTGGGAGGAGGTGGAGATTGCAGTGAGCTCAGATTGCACCACTGCACTCCAGCCTGGGCAACAGAGTGAGACTGTCTCAAAAAATAAATAAAAATAAAAATAAAAAATTATCTGCAGAACCTTGCACACTGTTTTTCTGTAAGTATATTATTTTCTCTGTCCATCTTCCTCTCTGGTGATGATTGTTGGGGCAGCAGCTGTGTCCTTGGAAAGCTCAGGAAAGGGCATTTCAGAAGCCCGAGGGTGGTTTTCCTGGGAGGAAGGAGCTGGATCTGGGGGAAGTTTGTAATACAGAGTGTGGGAGAACAAACCCAAACTTCTAGTGCCTCTGGTTGCCACCCTGCTAGGTATCATACAGAAAAAGCAAGTCCAATCCTCTGCCACTGGGACGGACTTGATCTGGTGTCAGAATTCTGTCTGCTTCCAGGACTCAGCAGACTGAATGGTGTTTCCAAAGAGGGCAGTAGGAAGAGTAAGGAGGGCGTCTAACATCGGGATTCAGCCCCAGGCTGTGTGTGCGCAAATTTCTGTCCCTGGGAAGTTGCAGAGCTCAGGCCGGGTCGCCCACCTGGAGACAGGACTTGGGTCAGGGTGACACCTCCCGTGGTCCTTGGCCGTGGCTCTGTGAAGGTGGCAGTGGGGGACGGTGCAGTCTCCAACAAATGGCCCAGTCATCCTATGAGCGGGGTCCCAGCCGTGCCTGAGCTCTGGTCAGCATCATAGTGGCAGGTGGGAAGCAGGAGCAGTCAGGAATTAGCAGACATTGGAGGACAGCTTCTAGCCAGAAAGATGGGGCTGAAAACCCGCAGAACAACTGCAGGCAGCCAGGCTGTGCAGAGTGAAGAGATCCCCAAACCACCCCCTGTTAATACCCTCAGAGAAACAAGAGAAGCGACAGCCCCCGTGAGTCCAGAGCGAGATGCCCCAAGAAAGAGCGTTCCGGTAACATAAAGGGGGGACCGGGGGGGCAAGATGTCCCGAAAAAGAACATTCCAGTAACATAAATGGGGGCGGGGGTCGAGATACCCTGAGAAAGAACGTTCCAGTAACATAAAGGGGGGCGGGGGGCGAGATACCCTGAGAAAGAATGTTCCGCCAGAGGCACGGTGGCTCAAGCCTGTAATCCCAGCACTTTGGGAGGCCAAGACGGGCGGATCACGAGGTCAGGAGATCGAGACCATCCTGGCTAACACAGTGAAACCCTGTCTCTACTGAAAGTACCAAAAATTAGCCGGGTGAGGTGGCAGGTGCCTGTAGTCCCAGCTATATGGGAGGCTGAGCCAGGAGAATGGCATGAACCCGGGAGGCGGAGCTTGTAGTGAGCCGAGATAGCACCACTGTACTCCAGCCTGGGCGACAGAGCAAGACTCCGTCTCAAAAAAGAAAAGAAGGGTCAGTGGCAGAGATAGCGAAGGGCCGGCAGGAGGGCAGAGGGCACCCTCTGGAGGAGGCCAGGCTCTGCACATCAGGCCACTCAAAGTCATGGGTAGGGAGCACACCTTCCAGTGCCCAGGGGCTTGCTGTAAAAGTAAGTGGGGTCCAACTGAAGCCCCCTAACTCCAGGAGCTCACGCCAAGGCCCCCATCCACTGGCCATGTCCACACCTCACCATGTGGCCCCTCTGACCACATCTGTGCCCCATGGGGCCAGAAAACAGCTGCTGATCCCCCAAAGCCCAGAGACGATCCTTGTGGCTTCGTTTTCCCTCGTCCCTAGGAGGCTGGATCCCGGCCAGTGCTCCATGGGCAGGAGGCTGCCCTCCCACCTGCTCCTCCACAGTCCTCATTTTGGACAATTGCATTTTTAAAACTTTAAATTATTACAAGTAATATACTCACTGCAAAGAAGACAGATGGAAAAATCCAGATAAACAAACAGTCAAGCCCCCAAACCACCCAGAACGCTTGCCTTGCCCCAGTCGTGCTCCCTGACACGTGTGTGCATGTCCGTAAGCATGGCGTGTATTTGTGCAGGTCACGATGTTCGTGTGCATCTTTGCACTCTCTTCCACCCCTGCTTCTTCCTTTACTGCCTAAGGCCCATGTCACGGGGATGGGAATTTTAGCATTTGACCTGGAAGCATTTGCCCCACCTGGGCTTGGAAACAGTTCTGGGCAGGCCCTTAAAGTTTGCAGGAGCCTCCAGAGGACCTGAACATAGCTTAGATGCTGAGTCCATTGCACACACACCCAGAGTCATACACACAAGCCCTGGGCCATTGGCCCTGAGGCCGACCTCCCTCCCAGAAGGTGATGTCACCAAAGCTGACTGCTGGGGCCACGCGTTGGACATGGGCACGATGGGGGAAGGCCCAGGTGGAAGGAACGCCAGGCACGGGCACGTAGTGACCTCAGCCCTGGACATGACATGCTTTCCCCACAAGGAAGAGACACACAGGCCTCACCGGGCGAAGCTGTCCAAGTGCCAAACACGTGTGCCGGCAGCTGACGCTGGCTTGGCACAGGCCCGGCTCCCAGGGTCTGGCTTCTACATGTGGAGCGGTGGGCACAGCTGCCAGCTCTGCACAGCGGCTGCGAGGGGAGGCCTGGCTGCTGCCTTCTGGGACCTGTGGCGGGGACGCTTTTCCTGGAGCCTGGAAACCTTTCCAGATCCTCCCTCCTCCTGCCACACTCCTCCTCCTCCTCAGGCCTCCCTCCTCCCTCTGCCTTCTCCAGCAGCCCTGAGCCCCACAGGGTCCTCTCATCACTCAGCGCCAGGCCCGAGGCACCACCTGCACCATCAGAGCAGTGGCCTGTCCCCACGGCTTGTGCCAAATCAGGGCAGACCCAGCGTTGTCTATGGGTGTGTGGGCCGAGGTCCTGTTGGCCGCATAGTTTGCGGGTCTCCAAGCCTCTGTTTTGACCCCAGAGAGTGAGCCAGCTGGTGCCACCAGCAGGAGGGACCCAGAGATTCTGAGAAACCCAGAGGCTGGACGCCTGTGTCCGAGCTGCAACAGCTCCCACGAGAGAGAACCCTGGGACATGGTGAGGCCCCACGTGAGCCAGGGAAGGCCTGGCCTTGAACAGCAGAAAACACAGACGCCCCTGGCTAATGGTGTTCCTGCGAAGTGGCGCTGTATTCCAGCAGACGGGCCCGCTGGCCTGAGGAAGTCACACGCACGTCCCTCTGCGCTTGGCCCTGTTGGGTTTTTGCACCGCCTCCCAGACGTCCTGTAGCTGGCACAGATCTCCCGCGCGGTCATTGCCTGAATCTCCCGCGTGGGCATTGCCGGGCTCTGCAGGAGGGTGGATGGTCCACATCAAGCGCCTATTGACGTTGGCGTGTAGGATAAAAGCCACCCTTATAGCGGTCTTTCTACATATTGATAGTTTATGTCCATCTCAGGCATCTGCTGTAGAAATATTGAATTGGTACACTAGCAACAGTTTTTGAAAGGTGTTTAGTTCTCTTTTCCAATCGTAACTTGCCTTCCAGAACCAGTAGAGGTCCTATGCTTGTGGATTCTCTACTAGGCATATATCTCCAAATGACAGGACCTCTTAGATCTCAATCTGGGGTGTTGCTGCAAAGCCTATGCTTACTGCCGCTTGGCCCATTCCAATGGAGCTGAGTACGAGGTGTCATCCAATGTACGAGTTCAAGCAAGAGATTCCTAAAGGTGCAGAATATCTGCCTCAGTGACCCAAAAGGAGGCCCCTACAACGTGCCATGCTTTTTCTAGTAGTGAGACGTACAAGACAGAACCCATTTGTTTTTAGTTGAAGGGAACACCATATACTATTAAAACTCGTCTCCACAATTCTCTGTGAGGTCCCCAGCCTTTTCCTCCTCTGGCACTGGTTTTGAAGCAATAAACAACTTAGCTTTGTATCCTTTCAGGAACGTGCTTCCCCCACTGCTATCATGTATGTAATTTCATGTATGTACTCCTACATCAGATGTGATACTTTAGAGAACACAATACCCAGGCGTTCTCAAGTGACTGCTGGTGCTCTCCATTAGTATTGCTCCTTATTGTTTTTGTAAACGAGGCGTCCCCCAGAACAACGTCATCATCTCTGAG